GGGAATGTCCGTCCATCAGCGATGAACCGTTTCCCTATTGGTTAGACGCCTGTCCATCAGGTGTAAACCAAGGAGGACAGGTCCCGCTGCCACGCACGTCAGTGCGGATTTCAGGTACCCCTTCCCCTCCATCCGATTGGTCGACAATGCCATTTGGACGGACGTCCCAGCCCAAGAGCCGATAGATGCTTCTCATTGGTCGGAACAGCCGACAATCAAAGAGAATCACACTGCCTATTGGAAGGAGCATCCATCTGTCAGTCACGACGGGACGGGATCTGGGAGGAATGGGGTCTGATTGGTCGGCAATGGCACTGCAGCCGTCCGTCAAAAACCGGAAATACGTGGACGTTGACTGACAGGCTACGGAAAGAAAAGCCGTGGCAGACCACCCCACGCGCCCCCGCCCCCCCGCCCCCATCATCCAACAGCTACACCTTACCTCGCTCCCGCGGTGCCTGACCGAACGAAGACATCATGAAGAAGCGGCCCGGCTCTTCCATCGGAAGGCGAGTGGGCGATAATGGGTGACTTTTTGTTTATTTTAGTCTCGTCTACTTGAGCTGGGTTTTGGAGCCGTGTGTTCTGGTTATAGTACTCTCTAACGCCAGGGCCTCGGGAGGTTCCCTTCACTCGACCTCGAGCATCTTCGCCGCGGCGGAATAGGCCGGACTGTTCCCTGCATGCGACCCGCCCTCCACACAGCTTCCCCTTAGCGACAGGCTACCATCGCCGTCCATCACTCACAGGGCAACGTCCGATTGGCTGCCTAGACTGTCTATCACCCGTCCGCTGTTGCGTATGGCCATTCAGGGCGTCAATCAATGCCCTACCTCCCGCCCCCTGATGGGTTCCTTTGTTCATGTTCCCAGCCCTTCCTTCCGATTGGCTAGCGGCGATGTCCGGGCCATCCGCTCGTTTTTCGCCTTCCTATTCGCCCGTACGCACGTCCATCTTCCTGCATCCCATTTTGATTGGACGCCGATGCCAAACCCAGGCTTTGGGCATTGTTGCTTGTTACAAAGGGGGGGGGTGGTCACCTGACCCGGAAATATTTGGAGGTAGTAGGAACTGCAGATGCTGGAGAATCTGAGATAACAAGGTGCAGAGCTGAATGAACCACAGCAGGCCAAGCAGGAAGGCTTCCTGCTCCTCTGGTGCTGCTTGGCCTGCTGTGTTCATCCAGCTCTACACCTTGTTATCCCGGAAATATTTACTCTGATTTCTCTCTACAGATGCTGCAAGACCTGCTGAGTTTTTCCAGCAACCTCTGTTTCTGATTTCCAGCATCCGCAGTTCTTCTCGAGTTTTTGCTTTTTGTCGTGTTAGAATTATCTTTATTGTCACATGAACTCAAATGGGTATGTTGAAAAGTTTACAAGTCGCCATTTACCGTGCTGTCTTGGGTACAGATTAGAGTCGTAGAGTTAGTAAGCACGGAAACAGACCCTTCCGTCCAACTTGACCGCCCAACCAGATATCCTAAATTAACCTAGTACCATATGCCAGCATTTGGCCTATATCCCCTTAAACCCTTCCTTTTAATATACCCATCCAAATGCCTTTTAAATGTTTGTAATTGTACCAGCCTTGCTGGAAGTTTGTTCTGTACACTCATTACCCTCTGTGTGAAAAAGTTGCCCCTCAGGTCCCTTTTAAATCTTTCCCCTCTCACCTTAAACCTATGCCCCTCTAGTTTTGGATTCCCACACTTTGGGGGAAAAGACCATGCCTATTCGCCCTATCCGTGCCCCTTGTGATTTTATAAATCTCTATAAGGTCACCCGTCAGCTTCTGATGCTCCAGGGAAAATAGCCCCAGCCTTTTCAGCTTCTCCCTATAGCTCAAACTCTCCAACCCTGACAACATTCTTGTAAATCTTTTCTGAACCCTTCCAAGTTTCACAACATCCTACAGCAGGGAGACCAGAATTGCATGCAGTATTCCAAAAGGGATTTTCAAGTACAAATTAAAATTGGAGAATCCCTGCAGCATTGAGACTGTCACACATCTCCTTTTGGATTGTGCCTTTGCAAAGGAAGTCTGGAGAGTGATGCGGTGGTTTTTGTCGAGGTTCATCCCGAGCAGCTCCGTGATGCGGGACTCTGTGCTCTACGGTCTGTTCCCCAGGATACACTCCAAGACAAACGTTGACTGCATCTGGACGACCATCAGCTCAGTGAAACATGCTTTTTTTTGGTCTGTCCGAAACCTGTTGGCCTTCCAGAACAAGGACTTGACCTCGACCAAGTGTTGCAGACTGGCACATCACAAGGTCCAGGACTACGTGCTGAGGGATGCATTAAAGCTTGGGGAGCCACTGCCAAGGCGCAGGGAGGAAAGACCACTGTCTGAGGCCTTCCTGCTGAAGGTAAATGGCAGTCCGTTCAGTTATCGGACCCAGTGTCTCAAATATGTGTAAATATTAGTGTTGTATGTCAAAGAGAGGTCTTTAATTTTTTGGATTGAGTCAAAGTCCAATGTTTTGTTCATTTACTTGATACACAACTGTACAGAACAGAACGGCTTTTGTGACAATGTATATACAGAGACTTTTTTTTAACGAATAAAGTAGATTTTTGAAATAAAAAATCCCTATGGTGTGGAATCAGGCCATTTTGCCCATCAAGTCCCCACTTATCCTGTGGAGAGCATCCTACCCTATCCCTGTAACCCTGTAGTTCCCATGTCTAATTCACCTCAGCTGCACATCCCTGGACTCTATGGGCAATTTAGCATGGCCAATCCACCCTAACCTGCACATGATTGGAGTAAACTGGAGCACTCGGAAGAAGCCCACGCTGACGCTGGGGGAATGTACAAACTCCACGCAGACAGCTGCCCGAGGCTGGCATCGAACCTGGGTCGAGTGGGGCAGCAATGCTAACCCCTGATTTACCGTGCCGTGGGTGGCTGCAAATTCTTACGGGAGAAAGAATTTAGAAAAATAGAGACAAAAGAAATAAAAAGTGGCCATTAGAGTGGTTTTACCTCTTATTTTATGAAAGTTTTCCCTTTTACTCAAGGTGAGTGAGAATGTTCTGAAATGGGACAGTGAGGTCATATTGGGCACTTCTGCTCCGAGATGGTCCCATGTGATCATGGTGGGTTGGAAGGGAAGTGCTAACAGAAACCTATCTGAAATATCCTGGCACAGTTCTCGCACCTTTATGGTAGGAAATGAAGAGCTGGTCTTTGATTTTTTGAGACTGAAGCGGAGAAACAAAAGACGCTGCTGTGTGGAGGAGCAGAGGTGTGCAACAGCAAGCAGGATGCTGGTGAGTTTGGAGGGAAGGGAAGAGGATTGTTGGGGCGTCTGGATGTGAAGGCATGAGGGAGTTGCTGATGTGGACCTTGCTTATGTAAGTCAGCACTTGGGTGACTCAGGCTGAGTGGAATGACCTTTTCGAGGACACACAGGTGGCAGGGAGAGGCAAGCCTATTGGAAACCTGGGACTCTGGAATTGTTGCTGTAATGCTGAGGAATAAGCCAGAAACTAGACACTTTACAAGAAAACAATGCACGCTGTGCATACATGTCCTTTCTGTCTTGACCAATCAGAGTAAAGTTGCCTGGCTTTAATTTACACACAACTTGGCAGTTAACTGTCAGCCATCATCTAACTGTTGCATTCTGTAAGGCCATAAGACATGAGAGAAGTAGCGGACCATTCAGACTGCTCTCATTCTTGGCTGATCTAATCATCCTCAATTCCACTTTCTAGCGTTTTCCCCTTAACCCTTAATTCCCTTTACTAGTTATAAATCTCAGCCTTGAATATACTGAACAACCCAGCCTGGATAGCCCTCTGTGACAAAGAATTGCACAAATTTACTACCCCCCGAGAGAAGAAATTTCTCTTTGCCTGTCTGAAGTAGGTGACCTCTTGCTCATGAGATGATGCCCTCTGGCCCTGAACTGTCCCACAAGGGGAAACCACCTCTCCTCACCTACCCTGTCACGTGCTTTAAGAAGCGTGTAATCTCTGTGACAACGCCTTCACAATCTGAATCCACTCCCCGACCAAGCTGCATGCTGTTCTCGTACAGCGTTACAGGGTTTCTGACTTAACAAACCTTTGTATTTGTGAATGCAATCCCATACAGGGGTGTAACTTTAAAGATCCGGCCTATGACATCTCCTGTACTTACAAACAGCTACTTTCCATTGTCCTGCGTTGGGTTCCGACTCGTATAAGAGATGACCAGCGCGTGGACGCCAGATGGAACCCATTGTAACCTGGGGATTGCCTGTATACCGCGCCCTCCTCTGGTATTTCTTTTGATGAGTGCAACATGATGGGTTTGAAACAGTGTCTTTATCCCAGCAAATATTCAAATTCTATCCTACCATAAGACTATTCCTTTAGTTTGGTGTATTTGTTGCCGGTTAACTCATAGTTAATGGGTGCTGATTTTTTTATTTCAGTGTATTAACTAAGGAAAGGTTCTGAAACGTGGCATTTTGCTGTTTGCTTCTGTCTGTCTGTTACTCAATCTGCCCAAAGGGGAACCAATGATAGTTGGGGCTTGAATGTACTGGGCAAACTGGACCTCCGTCGGTGGCCAGAAGGTGAGGAGCTGCATCAATATTGGACGAGATTGCAGAGGTAGAGATGTACAGCATGGAAACAAGACCCTTAAGTCCCTTTTAAATTTTTCCCCTCTCACCTTAAACCTATGCCCCTCTAGTTTTGGACTCCCCTACCCTGGGGGAAAAGACCTTGACTATTCACCCTGTTCATGCCCCTCATGATTTTATAAACCTGTATAAGGTCACATCTCAGCTCCAGGGAAAATAGCTCCAGCCTATTCAGCCTCTCCCTGTCGCTCAAACCCTCCAACCCTGGCAACATCCTTGCAAATCTTTTCTGAACCTTTTCAAGTTTCACAACATCCTTCCCTATAGCAGGGAGACCAGAACTGAAGGCAGTAGATGAAGGGAAGAGATCACCTCTTTCAGAACACACTGTAACTGAGCTGAGACAAGTGGCCTGTCAGAAAGTCAATTTACAATTTAATCCACGCCCTCACACGCAACTTAAATAATAATTAACAAAAGGCTGTGCTGGTCCACATCCTATTTTCCTGAGGTTTCCACTGCTCCTGTCTGGATTTCCGCACATGATGCCTCTCTGCTCAGCGCCTGTGTCAGTAGGTGCTCTCATGGCCGGTCAGGATGTACAGGTTGCTGTGAGCTGCGGGGTTGTCTGTAGGGGTGCTCTCCAGAATTATATCCCTGCAAAACAGATCACAGTGCAAACATTAGGAGGCTGTAGTTGGTTATTGAGGTGTGCAGCACAGAAACAGATCCTTCAATCCAACTCGTCCATGCCGGCCAGATATCCTGAATTAATCTACTCCCATTTGCCAGTGTTTGGCCCATATCCCTCTAAACCCTTCCTATCCACGCACCTATCCAGATGCCTAAGTTTGCACATTCTCCCCATATCGTAGGTTTCCTCCGGGTGCTCCGGTTTCCTCCAACAAGCCAAAGATGTGCAGGTTAGGGTGGATTGGCCATGCTAAATTGTCCTGTAGTGCCCAGGGATGTGCAGGTTAGGGTGGATTGGCCGTGCTAAATTGTACCGTAGTGCCCAGGGATGTGCAGGTTAAGGTGGATTGGCTGTGCTAAATTACTCAGGGATGTGCAGGTTAGCCATGGGAAATGGAGGAAGGGTGGGGTGTCAGGGAAGGATGCTCTTCAGAGGATCGGTGTGGACTTGTTGGGCCGAATGGCCTGTTTCCACACTGTAGGGATTCTATTCTATGAATGTTGTAATTGTACCAGCCTCCACCACCTTTTTGAGAAGGTGACACTGAGCTGCAGTAGGTCCACTCGGTGCTGACCAGTATCACTCCTTTCACACTTTTTGTGATGGTTTAATGCGACTGAGTGACTTCCCCAGAGTCAAAGAGTGGTTCACGAGGTCTTTTGGTCCATCGCGCCCCTGCCAGCTCTATCCCCTCGTGCCTGTCTCCTGCCTTTCCACCCTGTATCCCTGCGCACCATTACTATACAAATAACCATCCAATGCCCTTTGTCAATGCTTCAGTTGAACCTGCCTGTTTCGTTTCCAGCCAGTGCATTCCTGTGGGTGTGGAGTCCCATGTAGGTCAGAGTCCCATGGAGGGGAATCTCTGTCACTCCCCTGCCTCCACTGGTTAGCATTTATTCTGGGTGGGTGGGCAGCTCTCATAACCCACCAGCTGGTGGTGGTGTGCCAATATTCACATCTCCTCTGAAAGTTGGCATCCCATTACCCCAACGCAGTTCCAGGCCCCACTCACCCCACCTCCCCCCACGCCAAGGGTGTGAGTTCGAACTTTTCGCGAGGACGTGCAGTCCTGGGCGCTGCTTGGCCAACCTCCCTAACCCTGCACGCCACTTGCAGGCTGATCGACTGCGGTAGGCACCATGTCAGGCCCGCAGTCACCCGTCCACATTGTAGGCCCAGCAGGCCGGGGCCTCAGTTTGGTTCCCCTCCTCTCCCCTCCCTGGGGCAGCAGCAAGGACTAGACCAGCACCGTTGAGCTGCTTACCTCTGGGTGCCAAGCACACGGAACATCCTTGTTTCATCCGTAATCTCCTGAGTGATCTGCAGAAGGGAATTGGAAAAGGTGAGTATCATTCTGCCCCTAGGTCCAAAGTGTTTTGGGGAAAAACGAGCCTGCATTTCATGTCCTTCCCTCGGAGCGAGGTGAAAAGGTTTGACATAAGGAATTTGGAATCTGGACTTGGGCCTTTGTAATGGATAGTTTCAGGAAGCTGTTTATGTTGAGCTTTTCCTAAACTGTCTTCTATGTTCTGTTTGCTTTAAGTTCAGACAAACTGTAGTTGTGCCTCAACTCTGAATATTCCACTCAACTGACTCCTTCGAGTTTCTTTATTTTAAAATAAATGTTTTAGGGATTTGAAAGTCTCTGGCTAGGGCTGATGTTTATTGCCCATCTCGAATCTACAAGACAGCAGTTAACAGTCAATCCTACTGCTGTGATTGGAGGCACATGTAGTCCAGACCAAGTGGGGATTTCCTTCCCTAAAGGGCGTTAGTGACCCAGATGGGTTTTTATAACAATCGACAATAGTTTCACGGTCACCGTTAGACCACCTCTTTATTCCAAATGTTTTGTTTTTAGTTGAGCTGAAATCTCGCCATTGCCATGGTGGGATTCGAACCTATGACCCCACAATGTTGCCCTGGGGTTCTGGATTACTGGTCCAGTGATATTACCACTGCACCATCACGTTTACCCTCTTTCCCCCTCTCCTACCCCCAACAAATGCCCCACATCTTGAGCTGGTCACCCCTCAGCCTCTGATGCTGCAGGGAACATAGCTCCAGCCTATTTTTATTCTTTTCACAAGTACCTTTCACGGCACTAACCCGTGTCTAGATAACACAGCGTGGAGCTGGAGGAACACAGCAGGCCGGGCATCATCAGAGGACCGGGAGAGCCGACGTTTTGGGTCAGGACCCTTCTTCAGAACCATTTCAGATTCTTTTTCTGAAGAAGGCGTCCCGACCCGAAACGTCAGCTTTCCTGCTCCTCTGATGCTGCTTGGCCTGCTGTGTTCCTCCAGCTCTACACCTTGTTATCTCAGATTCTCCAGCATTGACAGTTCTTACTGTCTCTCTCTAACCCATATCTATTTGCTTTTTTTTTTGTTTGGAATTTGGATTGTTTTAGAATGATAGCGTACATTTTGCACTTTCTCGACACATGTAGTGCTGTTCTCGGGCACGGCTCAGAATTGTGTGTATGGAACGCCCACACTTGGCAAAGTGAAAAGGACCCAGATGTCTGCATCCCCCCCCCCCCCCCGCTCCTGTGCTGTATTCCGGTGAAGTTTCAGGTCATTACCTCGTTTGAGTGAAGACTCTGGCCCTGCATCCCGTGACTCCAAAATGCTAGGACACTGTCCTGCAGGCAGACTGCACAAATGGGAGAACAGTGGCATCAGTGAGCGTACAATGCTTTACCCACCAACCCACCCCACACCTTCCTTCCCCCTCCCGCACCAAGCCTTGCTCATTCTCTAGGATGATGCCAACTTAAACAGGGAACGCAGTTGATTTTAGCTGGCAAGCCAAGGACACCACTGGGGGACATAGAGGGAAGATTTAAAGGGACCTAAGGGGCAACCTTTTCACGCAGAGGGGGTGGTGTGTGTATGGAACGAGCTGCCAGAGGAAGTGGTGGAGGCTGGTACAATTACAACATTTAAAAGGCATCTGGATGGGGACATGAATAGGAAGGGTTTAGGGGGATATGGGCCAAATGCTGGCGAATGGGTCAGATGTCTGGTCAGTGCATATGAATTGGACCAAAGGGTCTGTTTCTGTGCTGCACAACTCTACGACAGATTCAGTGAAACAGCGCCTGCCCTATGCCATCTGGATCCAAACGATTTCTAACGGCAGGGTGATCTCTCCAGGAAAAACTCAGTCGGCCCGTGGAGCAAAAACCGAAATTGCTGGAGAAACTCAGCAGGTCAGTCAGCATCTGGGGTCACCGGACCTGAAACGTTAATCCTGCTTCTCCCTCCACGGATGCTGCTGAGTTTCTTCAGCAATTTCTGTACTGCCAGCGTCTGCAGTTCTTCACTTTACTTTGGGGTCAGGAGAGGATAGTTTTGTCACGGCAGTGATAGATGTAGAATCAGCAGTAACAAGTCGATCCTTGGTTTCCAAATGCAAGGCACAGAGATAGATAAGTCAGCGCCTCCATCCTAAATGGAAATAGGGTGGTCTGCCGCATTGACCGAATGGAGGAGACCTCACTTGCCATTCTGTGTTCTATCCAGAGACCCTGTCACACCGCTGGTTGTTCCTGTTAAACTGTCACCTGCCCATGCTTCTACCCAAGAGAATAATTGTCGCTGCACTGCCCTGAAGGGCTCTACTTGTAAATCAAAGTGCAGAAAGATGCAGGGAGTGCGATATTTTAAAAAGGAGTTGGGCCCTTATCGGGGTGTTTTTGCGGTGGTGGAATTATTGAAGGAAAAGTTTGTTTGCACAATGGTGTCTTCACTGAGTCCCTGTGTTTATACCACAACACGGGCACTGTAGGGGAAAATATAAGGGCTTATTGCTGTGCAGTGGTAAAGGAGAAAAATATATAAATAGGGGGCTTCAGAATCTGCTCCAAAAAAAAAGTTAAAACTTAATAAATTAAATGGTCAGATGAAACATTGCACCACCCTCTCTCTAATGATAGCGGCAGTATTGATAGACAGCGCATGCTCCCGTGCTTGGAGGACACCCTGGTGAGAATGTAGCCTGGGTTCGTCCTGTGACCAGGGGAAATAGGCTGCAGCGGATTCTCAAGTCTTAACTGGTCAGGAAGGCAGTTCGCAACATAAAGTTATGGCAGGCAGGTTAGTGCACGGGGATAACGAAGTCTTGTTAAAATTTATACCTCCTGTCCGTGGACTCCATCTACACTTCTTATTGCCGAGGAAAGGCGGCCAACATCATCAAAGACCCCTCCCATCCCCGGTGATGCCCTCTTCCAACCTCCTCCGTCAGGCAGAAGATACAGAAGCTTGAACAGACGCACCAACAGATTCAAGAACAGCTTCTTCCCTGCTGTCATCAAATGGACCTCTCAAACTTCAAATAATGTTGATCTTGCTTTGTGCATGGGATGGGTGGCACGGTCTCAGGATGGGGGGGTGGGGGCAGTGATCATTGAGGATCGGGGGGGGGGGGGCATTTCTTCACTCAGAGGGTGGTGAGCCTGTGGAAACCCCCTCCTAGGCTGTTGAGTCTCGATGGTTAAATATATTAAACGCCGTGGTGAGATAGATTGATTTTCTAGCTGTTGGGGGAATGGGTGAGAATGTGGGAATGCGAACCCAAGTTCAGGTGTGATAGTATGGGATGGAGGAGCAAACGTGATGGGCTGAATGGTGGCCTCCTGGCTCGCCTGTGCATGTGGCTACACTCACCGACTGTGTGGACGCAAAATCGGAAGCTGAGCTCGGTTGCCAAGCTGTGACGTGGCTCCCCATGTAAGCTCACAATCTTCACACAATCTGCAAAATTACCAAAAATAGTCAGGGAGATGCCCCTGTTAGACCAGCTTCTCTCACTGCTTCAGCAATCCCCAAAGCTTCAGAACTTTTTTTTTCCTGAGCTTCACATTGACCATTGAAATGAAGGAGGCACAGCAAGATCCCACACACGGCAATGTGGGGATGACCCTGATCATCTGTTTTCAGCGATGCTGGTTGAGGGATAAATACTGGCCTCAGGACCTTGGGTGAACTCCCCCGCCCCCACTCTTCTTCCAATATTGGCCAAGGGTTCCTTTACCTCCTCCATCCCGCAACTCTCTTTCATTCAAACCCCTGGACAGTGCGGCGCTCCCTCAGCGCTGACCATCCAACAGTGCCCGTCCCCTCGGCGCTGACCCTCCGACAGTGCCGGCCCCCTCGGTGCTGACCCTCCGACAGTGCCGGCCCCCTCGGTGCTGACCCTCCGACAGTGCCCGCTCCCTCAGCGCTGACCCTCCGACAGTGCGGCACTCCCTCAGCGCTGACCCTCCGACAGTGCGGCGCTCCCTCAGCGCTGACCCTCCGACAGTGCGGCGCTCCCTCATTTTCAGGGTGTTTTAAGCCACAAAGTACTCCCTGACAGAGGCAGTAATTTGGGACTGCTGGACAATTATGTTGATGTAGTTTTGGTAATGTTTTCACGATCCTTTGATGGTTTAGTTGGAGTGCCTCAACAAAGGGAACCCCTTGTTCAATAACACCTGGTGGCACTATCTCTGGACAAGTAATGCAGAGATTCAGGTAATGTTCTAGGGACTGGGTTTGAATCCCACCACAGCAGAAGGTAGAATTTAAATTTCATAAAAAAGTATGGAATTAAGAATCTAATGATAATCATGAACCCATTGCCAAATGTAGGAAAAACTCATCTGGGTCACTAATGTTCTTCAGGAAGGAAATTGCCATCCTTACCTGGTCTGGCCTACATGTGACTCCAGACCCACAGCAATGTGGTTGGCTCTTAACTGCCCCTCTGGGGCAATTAGAGATGGGCAATAAATGCTGGCTTAGCCAGCGACACCCTTATCCCGTGAATGAATAAGAAGAAAACAAGAGCTGGCTGACCTGTTCAATATTGCCTGTTAAAGAGTTTAATTAAATTTGGAGAACTTACTGTCAACACAGACAAGGACGTTGTCCCGGTCGAGCTGTGAAACGTGGCTGGCATTCATCAATGAAGTCTCTTAAAAAACAAATAACACAGTTAAGGGCTGTGAAACTGTTGGGGAAAATAAAAAGCTCACACAAAGTTACATACAGAATCAAGCTTCCTCTACAGTTTACTGTCCACTTACTTTCAGTCGAAAGCTTCCTCAACACCATCCCCATCAAACACTCTCAGGGACAGGGACAGCACGGGGTTAGATACAGAGTAAAGCGCACTCTAACGTTTGAGAATGGAAATAAATCTTCCCTATATTTTTAAACTGAAAGTGAAGCTCACCTTACACTGTCCCCTTCTACGCCTCCCAGGTCACGAAACCTGAACCCCTCCCAATCTCTGTCACCCCCTCCAGCCCCTACACCCCCTCCCTATCTCTGTCACCTCCTCCAACCCTTACACCCCCTCCCTATCTCTGTCACCCCCTCCAGCCCCTACACCCCCTCCCTATCTCTGTGACCCTCCAACTGTTTGATGGGGTTTGTCCTGATATTTGCTGTCGTGGCTCGGTGCGGGGCACGGTTGGTTGTAGTCTGGTGCCTGTACCTGGCTGTTTCTCTGGTCCAAGCGATCCCGTGGCGGTAAGCTGGATGGTGTCAAAATGCAGGACCTGGTGGGATTGCATGGGAGCCCGGACGCCCAGGCACACGTGTGGATACTCTTCACCAGGGAAGACCAGCAGCTCGAAGATTTGCAGAGGGTTCGGGAGTGTGAGGCTGACTTGCTGCACAAAGGAAGCAAGACAGAAAGAAACACGAGTCAGGTCTCTGAGGAGAGGGAGATGAGTCACCGAAGCCCTTCCTCATGCCCATGCCAGGAGAACTGTTGGAATACCTGTTTCCGAATGGGAACACCAATTTATGTTTCAGGTTGGAAAGTCCAGTCTGATCGGGCAAAGCCTGAAAGGAAGCTCCCGTTCTGACAGTGCCCACTCCCTCAGCACTGACCCTCCGACAGTGCCTGCTCCCTCAGCACTGACCCTCCGACAGTGCGGCGCTCCCTCAGCACTGACCCTCTGTGTGCCCGCTCCCTCAGCACTGACCCTCCGACAGTGCGGCGCTCCTTCAGCACTGACCCTGCAACAGTGCCCACTCCCTCAGTGCTGACCCTCCGACAGTGCGGCGCTCCCTCAGCACTGACCCTCTGACAGTGCCCGCTCCCTCAGCACTGACCCTCTGACAGTGCGGCGCTCCTTCAGCACTGACCCTCCAACAGTGCCCACTCCCTCAGCGCTGACCCTCCGACAGTGTGGCGCTCCCTCAGCACTGACCCTCTGACAGTGCCTGCTCCCTCAGCGCTGACCCTCCGACAGTTCCCGCTCCCTCAGCGCTGACCCTCCGACAGTTCCCGCTCCCTCAGCGCTGACCCTCCGACAGTTTCCGCTCCCTCAGCGCTGACCCTCCGACAGTGCTGCGCTCCCTCAGTGTTCACATTCAGAACGACAGCCTGGATTAAGGGACAGATGGATATTTTGGCGGGATCACAATAATGGGAACGCGCTGGGAGAAGCATTCCCATTTGTAGTGTATACAGCTGTTAAAAGCAGGGCGCAGTATGACCAGTCTCACAGTGTACTATCCATCTCAGGGGAATTGGCTTCTCGTTTCCTAAGAGGATTAACAACCAACTGGGTGGCCGGCTATTCATTCATGGAGGCTTCACAGCTCAGAGTGTTCTGACCATCCCAGCAGGCTGTGTTCCTGATATAAAACCTCTTCTCATCCCGATGCTGCAACAAGCCTCACCCTCTGGCCTGGCACCGAAACGGGGTGGTGAACAAGCAAGGACGTTTTTATTTTTACCTTGAGGATCATGAACTTCTGTAGAGGCTCATACCACTGAAGGAGAACGATGGTATTGTCCATCGCCGCGCACAGGAACGTAGCAGTCGTATAGGGGTTTCTCACTGCAAACAGATACAGGAAACCACAGCATTGCTTCCACGTTCCACAACAAACAGCAAGGAGCGCTGGGATTGCTCGACTCTGATGGGCATCGCAGCAAAGCTGAGGGATTCGGGGTGGTTTATATACAGAATAACAGATACCCCGGGAGGGAGTTACAGACTGGAATCT